CTATTACCAAATTTGTAAGATACAATCACGTGTGTGTTGTGTGTGTGTTGTGTATGTGTGTTGTGTGTGTGTTGTGTGTGTGTTTTGTGTGTGTGTTATGTTTATATGTGTGTGTGTTTTGTGTATGTGTGTGTGTGTGTGTGTGTGTTATATTTATATGTGTGTTATATTTGTATCTGTGTGTCGTGTGTATGTGTGTGTTGTGTATTTGTCTTTGTGTTGTGTTGTGTGTGTGTGTTTTTGTATGTGTGTTATGTTTTATGTGTGTTGTGTGTATGTGTGAGTTGTGTGTATGTGTGGTTGTGTGTGTGTGTTTTTTGTGTGTGTGTGTGTTATGTTTGTATGTGTGTTGTGTGTGTGCTGTGTATTTGTGTTGTGTGTTGTGTGTTGTGTGTGTGTTTTGTGTGTTTGTGTTATGTTTGTATGTGTGTTGTGTGTATGTGTGAGTTGTGTGTATGTGTGGGTTGTGTGTGTGTGTTTTTGTGTGTGTGTGTGTGTGTGTGTGTGTGTGTGTTGTGTTTGTATGTGTGTGTGTTGTGTATTTGTGTGTGTGTGTTGTGTGTTTGTTTTTTGTGTGTGTTTTATGTTTGTATGTGTGTTGTGTGTTTGTTTTTTGTGTGTGTTTTATGTTTGTATGTGTGTTGTGTGTGTCGTGTGTATGCGTGGGTAGTGTGTATGTGTGTGTGTTGTGTGTATGCTTGCTTTTTTGTGTGTATGTGTATGTTGTGTGTGCGTTGTGTGTATGTGTATGTTGTGTGTGGGTTGTGTGTATGTTTGTGTTGTTTGTGTGTTATGTGTGTGTGTGTTGTGTGTATGACAGACAGACAGACATTCTTTATTTCCTCTAATAAGATATTACATGGTCTTGTCGTTTTTAACAATTTCAACAATTTACAGCATGCATACTACATATTTACATAATACTACAGTTTCTTACTGTATTCTTCAAACTATGTTCAAGAGCTAGAGTTGCTCTGGAGAAGTATGTTCATTTCTGTGAACATCCCAGCAAGTTTGTCACTTATAGCAACCATCAGATTGTCCCATTCTCCATCGTCCAAAGAAATATCGTTCCTTCCACCAAGAATAAATGAACATTTTTTGTCTTCCTCTAGCATATCGTATTGTACATATTTTTCAACGCTTATAAGATTAACTATTTGTTCCAGCAAGATGTCTCTACTTTTGAATAATGTGGGACATTGTATAATGAAATGTTTAACGTCATCGTTCACAACTTTTTTGCACAGTTTACACATCACATTTTGGAATTCAGTCCTGTAGGAAAGCTTTATTAATTCACAATTCAGCCCTGTAGGAAAGCTTTATTAATTCACAATTCAGTCCTGTAGGAAAGCTTTATTAATTCACAATTCAGCCCTGTAGGAAAGCTTTATTAATTCACAATTCAGCCCTGTAGGAAAGCTTTATTAATTCACAATTCAGCCCTGTAGGAAAGCTTTATTAATTCACAATCCAGCCCTGTAGTAAAGCTTGATTAATTCACAATTCAGCCCTGTAGGAAAGCTTTATTAATTCACAATTCAGCCCTGTAGGAAAGCTTTATTAATTCACAATTCAGCCCTGTAGGAAAGCTTTATTAATTCACAATTCAGCCCTGTAGGAAAGCTTTATTAATTCACAATTCAGCCCTGTAGGAAAGCTTTATTAATTCACAATTCAGCCCTGTAG